CAAAACTTAGAATCTTTCAATTTAAATTATTATATAACATTCTTGCTACAATAGAATGTTATTTATATGGGGGATACAATCTTCCCAGCTCTGCAGATTTTGCTGCGAAGAGACAAAATCATTAGATCATTTGTTTTGGTACTGTCCATTTGTAGCTTGTTTTTGGACACAGGTCCAGGAATGGCTAAAGGATTGCAATATTTACCTGGAGCTAACCCTGCAGATAGCACTACTGGGTGATCTGAAAAGTCATAGTCAATCGATCAATAACATAATAATACTATTAGCAAATTTTTTTATTTTCAATTCACAATCTGTAGAAACAATGAGAATAGAAAGGTTCAGAACTTTTGTGAGACATCACAGTACAGTTGAAATATATATGGCAAATAGAAATCCTATATGGATGGTGTTAAAAGATAGATGGGAGGTGTTGAATGGAATTGAAGGATGGGACTAATAACAACTAACAACAAATAATAACAAAATAACTAAAAATGTAGGCACGCTGTGTCCATAATAAGTGTATAGGTTGTAGGTTGGGAGCTGTTGTGAAGGAGCACAGTTAGAAAGATATGGCATATAGAAGCAAACCGGATGGACATCATGAAAATGATCGGAGAGGTTGAGAGTAGAAGAAGTTCAGGAGAAAGAACAAACAAAATGTAATTATTGTAAAATTGACTGTGTCCATAAAATGTAGATAGTAAGTATAAGCTGGAAGTAGAGGCCTAGGCGTTGTTGTTCACTAGTTTACTCCAGGTAGGGAAAGGGTGACGGGGTTGGAAAGTAATAAAGGGGAATATATATATATATTCTTTAAAGGATATGTATGTGTATGTATGTATGTATGTACGTATGTATGTGGGTATGTATGTGTGTGTGTATGTGTGTATATATGTATGTATGTATATGTTATATGTATATGTATATATATATATATATATATATATATATATATATAAAACATGGGGGATTGGAAGTGATGCAGACAATTACATTGAAAAAAATAAAAGTACAGTCACGCTAGCTTCTGAGGGGAAAAATAAGTTGAGCAAGTATGGCTCCTAAAACCAGAGAAAGTATGACCTCTGTGTTTTTGGTATATGACTTATTGTGCTGTGTCTCTGTCACTCTACATTACCTCAGCAAGGTCATACTGTATCTGCCAGTGATTACATTCAAACAACTACTGAAAACAGCCATTCATAATGTTGTGCAGGAGTTGATTACTGCTTTACTTCCCTCATTCATGCAAGACCGGTAGTACTAGAACACATGTAAAAGCTGCTGCTAAATGGGTGGGCAGAGCAGATACTGTATCCTGGGTTAATTAGAGTTCATAGCTGACAGAGTGGGCTGGATGAAGTACTTATAATATCCAGGAAAAATATGTAGTCAATCATTTCACCCTGATGCACCTGAAAGTTGGAGTTGGTCCACCCATGCTGGATCAAAAGTTTGCTCTAAGCGCTTGCATTTAAAATTCACCTGCATACTGTCACTAATAAGCTTGACTCTGACCTTCTGATATATCTTTGGTAGGTAAAGGACACACGCACACACACACATGAACACACACACACACACATGAACACACACACACACACACACACACACACACACACACACACACACATGAACACACACACACACAGGAATCAAAGGGATTAATGAGAGGGCTAAACCTCTGGCTGATGTGTCATCATTTAACGGTTCAGTGAAAGACTTCTCAGACATCTAGAGGATTACGCTAAAATCACGGCTAGTTCATGCACCATCACGTCACAACAGGAACAACATGACTGATCTATGTGGAGAAGGACTGTGCCTTTGGATCTGCAGGCATGATATTAGTTAACCTAATACAGAGGAGGTGAATATCCTAATTCTGTTGTCCTCAGGCCTACAGTGTATTCATTGTATGACATGGATTAGGATAACCTGTACTTCGATGGTTTTACCTTAAAACCATGCAACAAATAAAAGGTCAAATGTATGCATACAACACTTCAGTGAAATGCATCTTCCAATGCTTCATGTACTAAAAATAAGAATCCATTATGACCTGTTTTTAATTAATTCCCATGGATCATCTATGAGTCAGTTTGCACCTGTTCTAGAGAGTTAGTTTCTATGGATCATCAGTGTAGGTTTATGCCACTGTACCGAGCAGTATGTTGTGCCAAACTCTCTCGGTTCACATCGCCCACTCTAGAGGACCCTCTCACACTCTTCTGACGTATCACATTACAAAGCTATCGAGATCTGTTAGTCACTTTCGCCCCCACAACAATCTCTAGCAGAACAGTATGTAAAAATATAGGGAATTACTCATAATGTGAATTGCAATCAGTCACCTCCAATGACTTTCTCCTTTGTGCTCTGCTTTGTATTCCTTTGTGGCTGATCAGCCCCAGTGAGATGGAGAGTGGAGAGTGGAGAGTGGAGAGTGGAGAGTGGAGAGTGGAGAGTAGAGAGTAGAGAGTAGAGAGTAGAGAGTAGAGAGTAGAGAGTAGAGAGTAGAGAGTAGAGAGTAGAGAGTAGAGAGTAGAGAGTAGAGAGTAGAGAGTAGAGAGAGAGAGAGAGAGAGAGAGAGAGAGAGAGAGAGAGAGAGAGAGAGAGAGAGAGAACAGGGAGACCTGCGACCAGTTGTCTGATGGATAGTGTGTGTCATGGCTGCCTCTGGGCTAGCAGGGTTCTGTTGAGACAGACTGCTTATTTGGCTATGCTTAAGATTATCAACACAGTCTTGAAGAATATCATCCAACCAGTTATCACTAGCCTCAGCCCTCACCTGAACATAAAAACCACTAACAAAACCACATTTTGCTCTTCCAGAGACATTACTACTCCACTGAGATTAGGGTTGGTTTAGCGATGATAATTGCTGTTGGAGACAGTGTGGTCGTTCCACCAATTCAGTGCCTTTTGAGAAGTGTAACTTGGTCCCAAAAACGTTTGATTTCACCTAATTTTAACATTCTGTCATAAAGACCACATTTCCAACTGAATAAAATACATGTTTTCCCATCTCAAGAGGTTAAAATAAATAAATTACTATAGTAAGTGCCGATTCAGTGCCAAATAAAGTAACAGGGTTGACCATAACAGGGTTGATGATTTAATCTTAAATCAACCATAAATCCCCTCGTGACAGGGGGAATGGAAGATAGTTGTGTGCAACAGGAAGTGGCAATTGAATGCAAGCTTCACAAAACATTTCTAGCCTGCCTATCTATGGGTAACAGGGATGATGTGTTACGCTAGACCCACTCCATAAAACACCAGAAAATTGCCAAAAAGAGTAGAACCAGCTCACCTGCTTTTACTATATGATTTGACTATTAGATGTTTAATGTTTCTTTTAAAAAGGAATAGTTTCACCATATTAAAGAGAAAGTTCAGTTCACGTAACAGGGTTGACCTTAGAATGAGGGACACTAATCACATGAAATTAGTAATAATTTTAAAAAATGACTTTGTCAACAAAATAACTAGGGCTTTACAAACTTGGATAGATTGTCTTGATTAACTGGCTTGAAATCTTCCTAGAACAGATTTATTGAATTCTTCATGTGGACTTCCCACGGGGGGTATAAAAAAAAACTTAAAAGAAACTGTAAGTCGCTCTGGATAAGAGCGTCTACTAAATGACTAAAATGTAAAATGTAAATGTATGTCTACATTAAAGTACTTCATGTTATATAACAGGTGTTTAAAATTCAATATTGGTGCACAATTTCTACTTATAATATCAAATGAACGCAAAAGGCACTACTTTTATGGAACAACCCAGAGATGCTTCAGTAAATGAGTGTGTGGGAGGAGAAGTAGAAAGAAAATTTGAAAAGCTACAGGCAGTCAGCACTGATATTAGTGCAAGAAAATATGTTTTTGTGCATGCAAATGTGACTATATTGTCTATCAGAGATTTGAATATGATTTGCATAATCACAATAGTGTCTGCAATCAGTAAACATACTAAAGGCATGTATCTTTTTGTGTTGTCTTCACAATCTACTGTTTGGCATGAGTGGCAGACTGTCAGTTGAATTGTCTAAAATGAGACTTATCGATTTAATCGGCATTCACACCTTTGCCATTATTTGATAAGAAATACTGTATGTTTCTAAACAATAATTGGGGTACATTTGTTCAACATAAAAATCCATACTGCCCTTGGCTGATTAGCCATGATGAGTGCACCTCCATCCTCCCACCACTGGGCTGCACTGTAGTTTGTAAACTGCTGTGTTTTTTGATGGTGAAAGCCTGGGTGGCTCCTCTTTGTTCTTCCCCTGGCAGAGAAAGAACACCCCTAGCGCCCTGCATCCCTCACTGTGCCACTGTATAGGGCCTAACCCTACCTCTGCTCTGTCAGACTGTCGTAAATATTGATTCACTTAATTGGTTGAACATAATCTCTCCCATAGAACTCTGAGAGCGCCCTGGCCAGCCCAGAATGCACACTGTCCGTTCTAGAATCCAGCGCCAGGGGATAAAAGCTGCCATGTCACAACCCCGAGAATAACCTCACACATACCACATCTTAGAGGCTAAAGACTATGTGCATATCTCTTTCTCTTTTCGTCTTCTCTCGCTCTCTCTTTCACTCTCTCTCGCTTTTATTTTCTCTTTCTCCTGTTCTTTCTCTTTCTCACTCTCTCTTCTTTCTTTCTTTGTGCTTCTCTTCTCTTTCTCTCGCTCTCTCTTTCTCTTTCTCTTTCTTTTCTCTTTCTTTCTTTCTTTCTTTCTTTTTTCTCTCTATTTATTTTTGTATTTCTCTCTGTCTCTCTTTCTCTTCATTTCCAGACATTCTACACAGCAGCAAACCAACAAAGTCATCACCAGCACCAGTCAACTCATCAAACAACTCTCTGACATCATCACTGGCTCTACACGGGTTAAAAATCTACATTTTTTCATTTATTTCTCTAAACTTTGTATCTAATTTGGATAAATACAAAGAAGCAGAGACATGAATTAAGATAATTGTCATGAATTTTCTTTCTTTGTTTTCACAGCAAGATCGTCTTCGCCTGACTAGACTTAAGACAGAACTCTCAGAGTCGGTTCAACGCTATGGAGATCTGCAAAAGGTGCCCTTGCATTGCCTCATGTCTTCTCATCTGTTCAGTGGGGTTTTGTTCTATAGAGAACGGTGACCTTGCATTGCCTCATGCCTTCTCATCTGTTTAGTGGGGTGTTGTTCTATAGAGAATGGTGACATGGAAAATAAAGAGCTGATTTGCAACACGGCTGCAATATACAGTATGTTTTACAATATTAACTAAATGCTTCTCTCACGCTCTCGTGCTCTCTCTCTTCTTGTGTCTCTTCAGAAAATTGCAGACCGTTCGAGGGCCTTGCTACCCCCGGCACAGACAGAAATGAAGCAGGTGAATTTGATGCACAGTGTATCAGTCTGTACTGGCCTTTGTTCCATTGTGAAGGTGAAAACACTCATTAGAGACAAAGATAATAAGCTTGGCCCTCCTTGTTTGATTGCCTTCTCATGAGAGGTTCTTTGAAGCTTTGTCTGGTGTCTCCTCTCTTCTCTTCACTCTTCTCTCAGTTCTCTCCCCCTCTCTTCTCTTCACTCTTCTCTGTTTTCCCTCCCGCTTATTAGCCATACACCCAAGTCCCTTCAATACTGCTACAGTTTTCAACAAGTTGCAGACTCATCTGTATTTTTCTGTCAGTTGAAAAGTTCAAAAGGGACAGACACATTTTGGGTTGTATGTACTTTCTGCAGGACATAGTTGTTCCGGCTGCATCAACACAGAATCAGATCTTCCCATCTCTTCAGGGGAGGAGGTGGTATGATAAGAGATCTGTGATGGGATGATCCTGCTTTTTTTACTGAGGAAGAGAGGCGGGTGAAAGATAGGAAGAGAGAGAAAGATAGAGAGAGGGCGAGATCAGAAGATGAGACAACAGATAGGTTGGTATTGAATATGAGCCACAGACAGTAAAAAAAGGACTAGATAGACTCTGATACCGTGTGACGATTCTATCCATCTACCTTTTCTTACGCTTTCATGGGTAACCAACACTTTCAGACTACTGAGATGGAAAAATTAGAATTCAATCTAAATTCAATCAGACACCACAGAAATAGACGGACTCACTCACATACAGTGGTAAATCATGACAATTTGTATGTCTATATTAGGATTTATACATATAGTCATGGGTTATACCATGTAAAAACTGGCTTGAGGTTAGATAACAGGTATCATGTTGATACACCAGAAAGCGTCGTGTCTGTAGACCTCTCTCTCTCTCTCTTCTGTGTAACCCGTGGTTCTTTCCCCGAATCTAAGGAGTATTTTGTCTCCCGTGGAGACATCTAGTACAAATGATCAAATGAGATATATATCCTTCTTAGAACACCTTTGGGGACAGGAGAGGAGAGAGACAACAAAACAACAATACCCCAAAGTCATTTGTTGTAAGTCAGAAATGAATGAACAGTGAATCTTTTTGAAGGTGTCACATTTCAATGAGTTCTAAGAGGGACTGAGTGGATTCTTTTTACGTCTTCACAATGCAATTCAATCATGATTGAATTTATTCATACATTACATTGGCAATAACAACACTGAAAACTGCACTGATCCTTATCAAAAGCACTCAGTAAAGCTAATGAGAAACCCAGACATTCTTTATGATGCACTGTGTAGTGTTACTGTGTTGTAGGGGACACTATATTGATGTACACTGTAAAACATTTTATAAAACAATGTTGTTTTTAAGGTAACTTACTGGCATCCAGTTACCTGTAAGTTACTATAAAAAAAGGTACAGTATATTACTGTAAATTCAGAATACATTTTTGTGTGATGTCTCATTTAGCTGTTCATACCTGATAGCTAGGCTGTCATTGCCTGATCTTCAAATCAAATCAAATCAAATCAAATTTTATTGGTCACATGCACCGAATACAACAGGTGCAGACATTACAGTGAAATGTTTACTTACAGCCCTTAACCAACAGTGCATTTATTTTTAACAAAAAAAAGTAAAAATAAAACAACAACATAAAAAGTGTTGAGAAAAAAAAGAGCAGAAGTAAAATTAAATAACAGTAGGGAGGCTATATATACAGGGGGGTGCAAAGTCAATGTGCGGGGGCACCGGCTAGTTGAGGTAGTTGAAGTAATATGTACATGTGGGTAGAGTTAAAGTGACTATGCATAAATAATTAACAGAGTAGCAGCAGCGTAAAAAGGATGGGATGGGGGGGCAGTGCAAATAGTCCGGGTAGCCATGATTAGCTGTTCAGGAGTCTTATGGCTTGGGGGTAGAAGCTGTTGAGAAGTCTTTTGGACCTAGACTTGGCACTCCGGTACCGCTTGCCGTGCGGTAGCAGAGAGAACAGTCTATGACTAGGGTGGCTGGAGTCTTTGACAAATTTGAGGGCCTTCCTCTGACACCGCCTGGTATAGAGGTCCTGGATGGCAGGAAGCTTGGCCCCAGTGATGTACTGGGCCATACGCACTACTCTCTGTAGTGCCTTGCGGTCGGAGGCCAAGCAGTTGCCATACCAGGCGGTGATGCAACCAGTCAGGATGCTCTCGATGGTGCAGCTGTAGAATTTTTTGAGGATCTGAGGACCCATGCCAAATCTTTTCAGTCTCCTGAGGGGGAATAGGCTTTGTCATGCCCTCTTCACGACTGTCTTGGTGTGTTTGGACCATGATAGTTCGTTGATGATGTGGACACCAAGGAACTTGAAGCTCTCAACCTGTTCCACTACAGCCCCGTCGATGAGAATGGGGGCGTGCTCAGTCCTCTTTTTTTTCCTGTAGTCCACAATCATCTCCTTTGTCTTGGTCACGTTGAGGGAGAGGTTGTTGTCCTGGCACCACACGGCCAGGTCTCTGACCTCCTCCCTATAGGCTGTCTCATCGTTGTCGGTGATCAGGCCTACCACTGTTGTGTCGTCGGCAAACTTAATGATGGTGTTGGAGTCGTGCCTGGCCATGCAGTCATGGGTGAACAGAGAGTACAGGAGGGGACTGAGCACGCACCCCTGAGGGGCCCCCGTGTTGAGGATCAGTGTGGCAGATGTGTTGTTACCTACCCTTACCACCTGGGGGCGGCCCGTCAGGAAGTCCAGGATCCAGTTGCAGAGGGATGTGTTTAGTCTCAGGGTCCTTAGCTTAGAGGGCACTATGGTGTTGAATGCTGAGCTGTAGTCAATGAATAGCATTCTCACATAGGTGTTCCTCTTGTCCAGGTGGGAAAGGGCAGTGTGGAGTGCAATAGAGATTGCATCATCTGTGGATCTGTTGGGGCGGTATGCAAATTGGAGTGGGTCTAGGGTTTCTGGGATAATGCTGTTGATGTGAGCCATGACCAGCCTTTCAAAGCACTTCATGGCTACAGACGTCAGTGCTACGGGTCGGTAGTCATTTAGGCAGGTTATTTAGAGTCCTTGGGCACGGGGACTATGGTGGTCTGCTTGAAACATGTTGGTATTACAGACTCAGTCAGGGACATGTTGAAAATGTCAGTGAAGACACTTGCCAGTTGGTCAGCACATGCTCGGAGTACACGTCCTGGTAATCCGTCTGGCCCTGCGGCCTTGTGAATGTTGACGTGCTTAAAAGTCTTACTCACATCGGATACGGAGAGCGTGATCACATAGTCATCCGGAACAGCTGGTGCTCTCATGCATGCTTCAGTGTTGCTTGCCTCGAAGCGAGCATAGAAGTGGTTTAGCTCATCTGGTAGGCTTGTGTCACTGGGCAGCTCGCGGCTGTGCTTCCCTTTGTAGTCTGTAATAGTTTTTCATATCACCTTTCACTGTAATGTCCTGGAATAATATCAGTACGATCATTTCAAGTAGAGCGCTGCCTGAAAATCAACGCAAATAGCTATAACTTATGTTGATGTTATTGAAACATATTTCACATTTTCCCTAACTTTCCCTGAAAGTGTTCTTGTTTGAAATCATACTTAACTCAAATGACCCGCTGGAGAATAGACAAACTCAGCTATGTAGCCCTACTGAGGACACTACTATCAAGGTTCTCCTTACACACCCCTGAACCCTACAGCACCAGGACACCAGAGGCTAATGTATTAAGGCTTATTTTCTGCTGAATCAATTTTATCAAGGTCTTTTCATTATGCTGGCTTAAGAGGAAAACGTCTCAGACTCCAGATATAAGGACAGGTTATGTAACAGTGACTACCTTCAGTGAAGAAATAAACTTAATTGGCACGCCATTCACATTCATGAAAAAAGTTATTCATTTTTTAATAAACATGAATAAGGAATATTTATTCTCAAATTACTACATTTCTGCAGTTTTGGGGACAAAGCAGTTGGTCTATAATTTAGTATAGCCCAGCCAAGAGACCTATACCTCGGATGTCAGTAACACTACTGTAGCAGATGGTGCATATTCACTGACAACAAAAAGCAAGAACAGCACAGAAGGTAGAGCAGATAGGCTGTGTGGTCGACATTGAGTGGGTAGACCAAAGACACTGGCCCTCCTCTAGCCCCTCTAGCCCCTCCCACCTCCGTACTGAAGAAGCTACCCACAGTAAGAGAGGAATGAGAGAGGAAGATGTGCTGTCTGTGCTCTAGGACAGGATGATTGGATGATTCACACTGTGGGCAAGAAAAACAAAAGCCACCTCCAGGGTTTCATCAATGGCATACATATGCAATTAGGGGTCAAAATTAGCAGATCAATGTGCGCCTCTTTCAGTGACAGACTCCCACGTTTCCATTGAGTATGCTGAAAGGAGAGCGAGCTAAGTAAACTGTCTGCACAGAGAAGAAAAGGGTCCTAGTCCTTTTTGATCTGAACTTGGGTAAACAGTGTGAAGAGGGGGTGGCAGATAGCTAGAGTGATATATCTAAAGTCTTTATCATCATCGGTGTGAAACATTCTAGTTGTGTTGAGGTGAAATTGTATTCCGGGGGTACAGGATGTTTTCCCCCTAGTTGCTCTCCGGTTGACTCAGGTACTGTGGCACAGACGACCATGAGTCAGCCAGGGGTTAGCCCTGTGCTGTGAATCACACTGTCTGACCTAGACCTTTAGTGGAGTTAGGCAGAAAGAGGTGCAGGACAGAAGCAATGCAAGTTGGTATTTTCAAAACAAATCTAATTATAAAGTTATCTTCTATGCTCTTTGTTTGTCTGTCTGTTCCTGTGTGTGTGTGTGTGTGTGCACATGTGTGTGTGCGCTTATGTGTGGATGTGAGCACAGAGTCCCCAGACTCCGTTTGCAGAGCTGTGTGAGGAGGGGGGTCCCCTGTTTGGCGATGCAGCAGAAATCTCAGAGGGGGATGGACAGGAGCAAGCATTCCTCTCAGAGATCAGTGAGGAAGATGTGGAGGCCCTTCGCCAGAGAGAAGAGGCCCTGATGCAGATTGAGGTATGGAGCTCAGACATCCACATGCTGTACCTGAGTTTACAACACACTGCCTTAACGTCTCAGTGTTCCTGAGGAGAAACGGGCTGAAATGTTCAACTTTCCAATGGCAGCAT